ATTTAATATATTCCAAGTACCTCTCATGTTATTTTTATTATCCTCCAATACTTTAGAGTAATATAGTTTCTTACATCTCCTCAAAATCTCAATTAATTTGTTCTTACACAACTTATATTTTTCTTCTGCCTTCTTTGATCTGTCCTTTATGAATTCCTTATATAACGCATTCTTCTTTTTACATGCATTCTGTAATCCCTTACTCATCCACGGTTTCCCACTGTAATTCTTTTTGTTTTTATACTGCTTACGAGGACAGTTCCTGTCATATACTTTCATAAATATATTTAAAAATTGTTTATATGCTTTGTCTAAGTCTTCCCCTCTGTAAACTGCTTTCCAGTCCTGCCCCCCTAAGTCCTCCTTAAGCCTCCTTACAGCTTGTTCATTAATCACCCTCCTATAGAAAAGGGGAGGAACACCGGTGAGGTAAATTAACTGTCACCGCTAAAAATATCTTCTACAATGTTTGATCACTTAAGATCAGACGGAAAGTTTTTATTAGCTAGTTATTAAACCGGAATAAGATAAGTAAATTTAGCCGGTTTGTTTTCGGTTGATGTTTGTTACCGATCTTGTTTGTAGTGAGGTAACGTTTACGTCGGTTTAGTGTTACAAAGGTTAGGATATTAACAACGCTTGATAGATGACAATACCGCGGGCTAACTTACCGCTGTTGACCTAATTTAACACCTCGTTTGCTAACCTTAATGTTATGTTGGTAAGTTTTATCCATCCGGTCTTACGTTGCACAAGCTACATATTTATGTGGGCTATACAAACGGCGCCATGTCCTGTGTAACGCACCCTGAAATGTAGCCTGGTTTTTAAAAGACATGTCGCAGCACACATTGGCTGCTCCTGTTAACAACCCTAACAGCAACCAGCTACTTCTGTTTTGGTTTCCATGTCCACATGAAAGCTGTACTGATGCACCGTATTTGATTATCTTAAAGTAGATTATCTAACGATACTGCTGCAATTCAGTCGGAGGAGCCAGACCTCACACATCTGTGCCTCTGAATGATTGTTACTTGATGTGTTACTCAAAACAGCTGTTTAATTTCATACAGAGAGGGTGTGATGGAGTTTCTCCTGGCTAATCACATTTCATAAAAGGACACGCAGGACTGGTTTAGTCCAACAATTTGGTGACCCCAACGTGATGAAGACTAATGACGTCTGAAGAATAATCATACCACTACAGCTGTATTAAAAGGTGAGCAGAAAACCTTTTAAACAAAAGTTCTGCATATTGAATATTTTAAAACAAAGTGGTGTGATTTTCTAAGTACGTCATTAATATTTTTGAAAAGCAATAATAAGTGAAGTGACGTCAGGGTTGGAGGCCTGTCAGACATTAAGTTCTGATAAATTCCGGGGGTTGGAGGCCCTTCAGACATTAAGTTCTGATAAATTCCTTGGGTGAAAGGCCCGTCAGGTTCCAGACCTGATAAATACAGGTATTCCTGGGGTTGGAGGCCCGTCTGATATAATATCGGATAAATTCCCAATTACAAAGAACATTTAGTTCGATTCTAAAGCAAATCATCTGGTGGTGTGTTCTGTAATTGTAATCTGGTATCACGGGAATAGGGTTGGAGGCCCGTATTTAGAAGAAATACAAAGAGCCAAGAAATCTGCGCAGTAAAAACTACATGTATATAATAATTTCTTGACTGAATAAAGATTGTTCCTTTTACTGGTTCTGTTTGAATGTGGTGTCGTGAGGACAGAAATGGTGATAACAAAGCTCAACTTTTGCAACCTCACAAGGGTCTCAGTGAGACTGGCCACATTTAAATTGTGTACCCTGTGTGTTACTATTTTTATTTTTCATATACAGTATTGTGGGTGGTTTCCAGGAGACAGACAGTTTCAGAGACTCAAGTTCTCATCCTCTCCTGTTTTTGTACATTGGGATGGTCTAGCTTGATTTTTGAGTGTGAATTAAAAGACTTGGCAAGATTGGGAATTAACCCCCAGTACGAGACCAGACCAAAATTGTTTGATCTAGAAGCTTGTCTCGTAGATCTGTCAAGTTGACCGACGGAGTCATTCACACACTAAGTCAAGGGGATCATATATTAATAAAAAGATCTTGTATTTTGACCTTGTATTGTGGAGTAAAGGGGAGAGAATTTGACAAAGAACTTGGTAGAAGTGAGTTACAGGAGGAAGAAAATATCAGAGAATGGTGGAATTACATTAAAACACAACTTGAAAGTGGTATGAAGGAGTCGGGGTTGGAGGCCCGTCTGATATAATATCGGATAAATTCCCAATTACAAAGAACATTTAGTTCGATTCTAAAGCAAATCATCTGGTGGTGTGTTCTGTAATTGTAATCTGGTATCACGGGAATAGGGTTGGAGGCCCGTATTTAGAAGAAATACAAAGAGCCAAGAAATCTGCGCAGTAAAAACTACATGTATATAATAATTTCTTGACTGAATAAAGATTGTTCCTTTTACTGGTTCTGTTTGAATGTGGTGTCGTGAGGACAGAAATGGTGATAACAAAGCTCAACTTTTGCAACCTCACAAGGGTCTCAG